GCACTGTTTCTTCGTTCAACACAATAGGTCTTGCGACCACTGATACATTGAATAATATCAATTCATTATCCATTGCAATCACAGTATGTTAGTATAAATGAAATTTTAGAATGCATTGGAATGCTTAAATGAAAATTCTTTGGACTGATGCAAGTTCATTGTAATTTCGAGTAGAAAGTAGAAAAAATTCACAAATTTGAAAAATAATCCCGTGGAATTCAGTGCTTAATGCAGTGATACTGAATACAGAAACACACACAAACATGGGATCAACTTGGAATTTGATTTGACTTCAAGCCGGAATAACTTAAAATTGGATTAGAATGAGACAACGAACTCAGGTCGTAGAAGTGAACCACCATCAGCCGCTTGCATAGCGACGACAACGTGAAATGGCGATCCAGAATCCTTGAAAAACTCTCGTGTAACCGAGTATTCATACCGGGACGGTGAACCGGCTGGTGTGAATTGATCGAGGATGTGATTCACTTCATGAAACTTCAAAACACCTGCTGAGAGCACTAAGGCCAACAAACTTCTGAAATTGTTTTCATACGCTAATACTTCAGTTAATAACATCAAGTACTGATGATGGCCATTCTCAGTTGTTTGTGATATCGCTGAATAAATAACAACTGAAATGGAATCAATTCTGAAGAAGAAGCAGGATCACTGAAGAAACCTCAGAGCTCCTCAATTTGATTCATCGAATAACACAGACTAGTCTATTGCGGAAACGGAAAAAAATCACAATCACGACGAATTTTCACAATCACGACCCCGAAAATGTAATCGGCTCTAAAAATTCGGTGACAAAGATGCGGAATCGGTGACGTGCTCTCCGAATCTCCCCGATCCTCGCAAGACTGTTATTAGACTATTACTAGGTTAATAGGTAATAATAACGATTATAAATTCAACGATAGCAATAGCACTTTCGAAACACAAAAGCTCACAATTAGACTGCTCTTATGTGAAATAGAACGGGCAAAGGGTGAAGAATGGATTGTGCTACAAGAAATGATATTCTTTGTTCGTTTAACAGATGTCCTTCGAAATTCCAGATATCCTTTGATACATCACAAAAAATCACTCGTTCATTAGCTTGCGATCACCTCTTACAGTTATAAAGTTGATTATAAGTAAATGAACGAACAGACAATAACTACATAATGTATTGTAATTTGCTATCATTGAACTGTTAAGAATATACACATATGAGAGTGGAATTCCGATATCAAATGTTATTAGAGTTATGGCACTTCACTTCAATTTTCATGCCAATATGCAATTTGATCATAAAGTCACTTTTCTGAATCGCCCCGTTTTAACTGCTATCAAGATGTCCTAGAAAGATTGCTGAGAATGTTTTATTTTCTCGTTATTTCACCTCAAAATTGATGGTGATCAACTCTCACAAAAATTTGCGATGTCACAATAAATGCGATGCGCGAATTGATTTGAATACACATCATTATTTTATGTGATTGCATTAAATCGATCCTCTCATCCATGAAATTTAAGATATTTAGATGAGATATATATTTTGCAAAAGGATGAAACGTACACTCACAGTTAGAGGGAGAGTGTTGCTCAATTGCATTAGTAGTTTTAGATGAGAGAAGAGGATTTGGATAGGTATGAAGATGAAGATTAACTTGAGAGTTGATGTGCGAAAGGATATGATGCTCTGAAATGAACCTGTAATT